TATGTTTTATCATGAAACAATTAACAGCAATTTCAAATATTTGTTTCACTCTGCAGAATTTGACTTATAAAGAGCGCCATCTATAGGCCAATTAAAATTTTTGGAACCACCTCTTGGAAAAACCCAAGATCCGCCCTGCATTGATCTACCCGTCTTCACGCGCGGATATAAGGGGAGCCCCCCCCCCCCCCTTCAGCCGCAAAAAAAAAATAAAAACCCAGCCCACATCAATAGGAGCCCCCTACCGAATTTCTGGATCCGCCAGTGGTCCTTGTATTTTAGTGGACAATAATTCCAAAGACGCCCTTTTTTCCGCCAATATAGTTGCCGACTGGAGGCGTTGTCTAAATACGCGAAAACTTGTATCTTTGTACCATTGTTTGTGCGAAAGATATTGTACGGCGCATTAAACATACCTTGACTGGCAATAAAGAAGAAGTTGTATAGAGGAGAACAATATGGTACAATAGTTCAGATTGTCCATCGATTTGGCGGCGTCCGAGTCGTCGTATTTCATTAACGTAATCCGATGAAAACTGTCTCATCAGATTAATCCGCCTGAGTGATCCGGCACATAGGAGCCGGAATGTTAATTTATATATCCAGGACGATGATGTATAGATATATTATTGAGTAATTATATCCAAACCACAATGCCAAATACGCCCAAAGATCAAATGTCTTTTTAACTCACGCTGAATTTTGACAGTATACCAAACACCCCTTTTACGCTTTTTTTTCTTTAGCTTGCGTACCACATTTTATTCATAGAAACCCCCCCCCCCCCTCCGGACCAAACGACGACGTTATACTTTAAGGTGACGTCACACCTTATTATAGACTACAATATTTCAGCAAGTCTCAGAGGTTTTTGGGCAGCCAATTTGCATACTCGTTGGCGAATTGGATAACTACTTGCAAATCTCGCAAATTGGTAGACTGACAAGTAGGCGTGAGTGGCGCCTTCGCCAGCCAGCCGAATGGCATCATACCTCTCTACCTCTCTGTGTTGGGATTTGAGTACCGCGGAGGGGGCACTCTCACGTGACCTTGTCAGGCCTGCAAATACTTATCAGGCTGCCCCAATACTTCTAGACTTGCTGCAGTACGGAGTCCCAACACGTATTATTCATACAACTCCAAAACTGAGTGCGAGATACAATTGAATTTGCCACTACATACTTAGCAGTGTGTTATTGTTTTGTGTGGAAAACTGTCTACTAAATGAGACCGGTAAATTAATGAGAAAAGTAAGTACTATAATATAACAATAATGGAGAATATAGATTTGTATTAATTATTAAATAAATGGCGTATTATATCAGCATAATTAGTACCGCGCAGTGGTGTTTTAACATATCACGTATTTGTACCACTGAGTAATTCTAGCTGAATAGTGTGAATGATACAAAGCGGTGAAAGTGAACATTGCTCTGTAGGAGCACTTCCAGTTAAGCCTAATTTCACAACAAATTTACTTTCTGGATTAAAATTACAATGGATAACAAAAGATAGATTAACATTGTAAACAACATAAACGATGGTGTCCCATGATTCTTTGGTGCGATCCCTGGGCTTGGAAGGTTCCACTATATAGCACGTCTGCACTGTATATATTTGTGATTGACATTGAGAACTGAGTTTTGACAAGTTATGTATTTCTTAAACGTATTAATTTTACTGCCGGGGACAATTATTAGGGAAAATTCAAAGTTACATTGCAAACTATATGATAACATATATGGGTGTTTTTTTCCTAATCTTCATCTAACCCCATAGTTCCACCGTTCTATAATACGTTCCTGTTAGTAATAGGAAAAAGGAAATATTGACAGATCGAAAAAGAGAAAAAGATAAGTACTGCTAATACATATCTTAGTTCCATTTGATATGCCTTTTTGCACACGAACCTTCTAATCGGGACACAGTACTGTCAATTTCATATCAAGAAACGTTTGTTGAAGGTTAATACAACTTTTAATTAAAATACGACCAAGTGAGAGAATATTAATCAAGCCTCAAATAATATAATGCTCTAAACCCATTTAATCTTCTTACGTTTGTTTGTGTCCTTTATTGTTTCCTCAAAACATAAAATACCGAAGTCACCCGTCTTTCCGGGGCCTTAATACGCAATTAACACCTTTCCATTCTCGCGTGGATAAACGTTTCCCAGTTACACGTCGCCACACGCATGTAACCGTTGCGAGTGAAAATATTGTGGTTTGGATTTAATAATTACACGGTGAATGGAATGAATAGGTATGTATTACCATGGATATGAATTATAAACTCTCATTCAAACTTACAAAGGTCGGATCAATCAGACGGATTAATCTGACAGGTTGAATCTCATCAGATTACATTGAATGCGATGACGCCATCGATATCAAATAATGTAAAATCTGAAATTTAGTGTTCCGTTATATTAGTCGCGTGTATGTTTATACGATGATTCAATATAATGCAAGGGTCGCTGAGTCTCCCTGTTTCAAAGGTCACTGACTGACCCCTCGTTCAAGTTCAACGGTTTCTTTGTGCCTTTAAGGATGTAGTGGAGGTTATTGATATTGCAATTGCATAGCACATTTCTGAAGTAACATATTCTTTGAATTATATATTTTTTAGAAGGAATATTTATTTCATTTATTTGAAAAATAAGCTAACAACAAAAATGGTATCGTGTAATCAAGTAATCACTGTGCAAATAGAGAGGTGTTATTTTCGAAGAAACCGAAATAAGGCCACAGAAATGATGTTCGTGGTGCTTAGAGATACTATAAAAGATTTCAATTCAATTTCCCAGATCGTCTACTGTTGCGTGACCTAGGTTTTTACCTCATAATGCTTTTTAAAAACACATTGTTTTGAAATATAATACCCTGTGTCATAGTTCACATAGGGGATAGTTGTGTCGTATTTTCTAAAGTCAAAGTGGTAGACAAACTATTTTTGCTAGATTTCATTAGCAGCTATCAGAGAATACCTATGCCAAAAATCACCATCATGGAACAGCTGGAATTCGAGATCAACTCTCTAGACTAACCCCAAATACCGATGTTTAGTTAAGCGCGAAAAATCACAAAAAACATAAAACACACTGTATCTCAGATTTACTCAAAATGTATCACCCTCTTAAACCATTGCTACACATGTTTTTTTCTAGTTGAATGCATGCTTTATATATTCGTATAAGAGAATATGGAAAAAAAAAATTGATATTTTTGAAGAAAAAAACCTCTACTACATCCTTAATATCAGCGTATAGTAGTTAAAGCGGGAGGATTTTCACCTGCGCACGCGCGGGAATTGAGTCCCAAGCGACAATAACAACACACTCTAAAAACGCAAAGGCTCATTAGTAGACGCTTGTTTGTAAACAATGACACGCTATGGCCATCTGACGCATGCGCAGGTGACGACTCCCCCGCTTTAACCAATGATGTTCGGTATATTCCATATGTCTATACCTGTTCATGCATTGTTAAGCAAAAAACAATCATGTTAATAGTGATTACAAAACATGCGTTGAGAACACTGCTAGTAGGTACTGTGATTCCCAAATCAGCAAATGCAAAACGAGTTGTCACAGTCAGTAGAAACTGCGAAATTACGTTCTCGGTAAAAACAAATAACCAGTAGCATAAATATTATTTACTTAGTTTACTGAAACCAAAAACTGACTACACGCACGCTGTCACTCAAATCAATTAACATAAGTATGACTTGACCAAGCCTCCAGACTGCTTGATAAAATATTCATGTTTAAAAGACATTGACAAATGACTGTTTGAGTTATTGTAACTACACAAAAACGTTTCACTGCGTAGTCAACATCGACAACAACGGGGACAGATATTTGCCATTTCATATACATTTACCTTTCCCTTTATTTTGTATATTTCAAATAGGTTATAGTTTAGGTTTATTTAGTAAATTTATGCACGATAAAGTCTGTGTAAAATCCCAAAGTTAAAATATAACTGAATGGTTGAAAATAGGTTAGCTGTATTTATTAATATACTATTTTGTTATTTTAACAAATAGATTTTTTTTTCATTTTGTTTCTAATAATGTATGTTTTGGCATGAATAAAATAAACGTAAATCATGTTACAATAATCAATGAGATAAAGCTATATATCGACATCGGAACATATAACAAATATATGATGTGAAATAGGTAATCACAAAAGACTAAGTGAGTCTGAGCTGGAACACGCGAAAAGAATTGGAACAAATTATGAGAAAGTTAGATTCTATGTATATTGCTTGTGTGGGTACACCGGTAGTAACGTAATTGCCTAAGCTCGTGACGTCAGATGTATCATCGCATGTCAGACACACATGGTGACTCACAGACAAAGACCCTAAAATTTGTATAGACCAAAAAATGTTATTGCAAAGCTATTAACGAAATAGGGTTTAGTCGCTCCAGTGGTTTTAATATATAAGTGATAATAAAGGTGACCAAATTGCGATTTTTCAATTATACCATACAATGATAACGACCAGTTAACTATTGAATAAAAAAACACATGATGATGTTACACTGTGAGATGCGCGAATGAAGTCGCAGAGAGAGTTTTCGCGTATTTTTGCTAAATGTGCTAGAATTGGTGAATTATGATTGAGCGTCATCTCTGAATTTTAAGAGACGCGAGCGGTAAAATAACTTGTTAAGACGAAGTTAGAAGACTTGACATAATTATATATGTAATATATTGCTTGATTTTTCTTTGGTCATGTTAATTTTTCAAAAGTATTGAATCCCTGTGCTGCCATATTGACGATAATATAATTTAAAACCTTGGGGTAGCTTAGCTCTCATGTTTTGTACTTATTCGTTTGAATTGAGCTTATGAATTTATGTCTCTGTGTATAATCTTTTTTTTATTGAAAAATCAGTGTTTCATTATTCTATTCAAACTTCCCTAACAACGTTGACCTGTGGCATATAAGGACCCATTAACAGGACACTGTCATCAGTATAGAGGTGATTTCCTCCGTTATCGTTGTTGAGATGTTCCAAACCTGGGCCATGTCGCCACTGATAGTTACGTTAGTTGTCTTCTTGGCGGTAAGTAACACGCTCCCTAATACATCTGTATAATTATACTTAATTATCCAGGATACGTAAAACTAATTAGCTTTTACAGTGGTTCAGCAAATAAGTTAATAATATGAAATTGTGTAATTATTATAAATGCAAGTAAGACAACAAAGACGAGACATCTTAAAAACTGTGCCGTAACTGAATGAATAATAGTGTTTAACAAATGTATAATGTCAGGGATTAATCGTAAAGAGTTACAAAGGACCATATATATCTGTTGTATAACAAGTTTTAAATTAGTGAACAGTCTGGTATTAGTGTAATTTTCATGTGTGAAATCGCTCGTTTTCTAAGCTTTCTTCGAAGAGTGTTTTTGTGCTCTATGATTGGCTGGTTTATTTCATACGAGGCATAGTTTTACCTCAATAATGTAATCCTTCGATCCTCGAATTTCAATTTCATTTAACGTCATGGGAAAACTAGGAATTATGATTCTACCGTCTCGGGGCGCTACATATATTTCGTCTCGGTTTAAAATGTTGATGATGTTATTAATAAGTTGCAATATGTTGTGAAATCTCTCGGTTGAAAATTTCATATTGTAAAAGTGACTGTAAGAAAGTAAAATGTAACTGCCCGATTTCCGTAACCATTGCAAAAAGTATGCACCATGAAATTGTGCGGCCGCTTCAATCTCTGGTTGATTGTATTTGTGAATATTTCTAGGTATCATAAGTATTTCACATTCTATACAGACGAGAGTTTGGGTTTGGTGTTTTGGGTTCTTATATGATGAGTGTATATAGTATATGCATTTCTATAAACTATTGTAGATGATGTGTCATTGGTGGCTGCCCAGTGGTTTTGAATGAATTTGGTGATGAAACAAGAATTGTGCATTCATTTTACGAGCTATTATTATATGTAAATATAATTTACAGTTGGTTTGTGGTTTTGATGAAATGTCATTTTTTTGTCAAAAACACTCAAATAGACAATTTTGAACATGTTAACGATTCCTTAATACGCATGCTTAGTGTTGACGTCACATGCATGGTTTTCTTTGGAAATCTATTCCAAAATAATAAACTGACGGTCAGGGTGTTTCTCTCTATAATTTTTGTTATATGCCTCCCACGATTCATTAAATTACTAAAAAAAACATGACTAAAAACATAACCCGCAAACTGTTTTGCCTTTTGATGTCACAGTTACAGACACCGTCAATGCTACTTGAAGCTAGTGTATATCTACTTGGATCGGTGTCACTAGTTGTTGGCAGAATTGTCTCCGAGGAGAATTCTAAATGCGTTGGTTTGCAATAAACTACAATTACATGGATTCATATGTGTATAGTAATATATTTTATACCTGTCGTTTATAATTTCCGGGATTCAGTTTACTTGGAGTAACGAGGCGCTTGCAAGGTTTGCAAGCTCGTATCCAATGATGCGTGTTTTAATTTGTATATTGTTTGCTTGTAATTTGTTATTTGCTTCTATTTTAATAGAAATACACAAATTATTACGACTCTAAACAAATTCACTGTGCTTTTTACCGCTAGGTACCATGCCAATCCAAGTCGTTTAGAACACAGTTAGAAGGTCTTGGTGAAGGTGCGTACTTTACAGACACGATTGCTCTTGCATTATGTGTACCAGTATTATTTGTTACACTGTGATTACCCAAACAAACCAAATGCATATAGTCACTGCAAGTATACTGACATTATAAATCGTAAAATAAACGGCATACTTGTCTACATCAATGAAGTACAGATACGTGTCCCCAGCAATTTTGCGCCCAGTCAATCATTCAACAGATTGTCAGTTATCGAGCGGAGAGGAACCGTATGTGTATATTTGCATAAAACTATTATTATTCTGATTCCACAGCTGAGAAATGTCTCAAATGCCATTTAAACGAAAAACTGAGCTTCCAGGAATGTTTATCCAAGCCTGAAGGACCGGACAAGTATGAAATATGCCAACCAGCGAGGGTAAGTATCAAGTGGAGTGACGACATTTTAATTGCTCCCACTAACCATATATGATTTGAAAGGGCGGGGTGAGTGAACGATGAAACAGTACACCTAGGGCATTTAGAGCATATTTCTCGGTACGACGGAGCTTCGGATAGATTATTCAATGCTGACCACGGATATACATTGATTGATCGATGCTTTCTCTATGTTTGTGTTTCAGTATATGTAATGATAACTTTGCTCTTTTATTATCTCACAGCCGGAATGCATGTCCCAGTTATGGAATTGGAAAGGAGGGAATAAACTTGTATTCGCTTCAGAGTGCCAAGAAATAGAGGTGAGCGTTCAGGCGATATAATTTATTGCGGAAAATATATTTTAATGTATCGTGAATACACGTACTTGTATTTCCAAAGTAGTCAAATTTTAGAGTACGTGAAGTATACCCACAAACCGAACACCTTAACTAAATCTATTATACCTTTGCAATGACAACCATTCCCATGAAAATATAGAATATAATTATAGCTTCGGCACATGCACAGCACGCCCTAACCTCACTGTACGTACCATGTACTATATTGTAGGCATGCTTCCAGGAAAGCAAGAATGAACCTAAATCAAATAACTGTGACGATCCGCCTATTCATGTCGCGACAAAGTGCCGTTACTGTTGCAACGAGCAGAATGTCACCGTAGAACATTTCTGCCCTCCTCCCGAACTACCCGATGGTTAGTATATGGAAATATTTACTATCATTAAATTTCATTGAATTTGAATTTGACGAGTCTTGTTTAAATCTTCACGAATATTGCCACTACATTTACTAGAATTAATTGTAATGATTTGTATGTGGAATATCGTTATAATTGGTAGTTACTCGTTTATTTAATATTTCACACAATGTTATGGTCGTTTCATGTAACTAACGTAATTAAAGTTAGAGGTACATTACTTGGGGTTTGCAACTATGGTGACATGATACCAAGACCCCGTTTTAATCTCGCTCTCGCATAAGCGTTCCAACTCAGAAAAATGCGAATGCGCATGCCCGGCGAGGTAACTAGGATACTGGGATGTCCAGGTGGATCAAAATAGCTGCTCACGATATGACGGATAACTATATTTTCTGTACATTTTCGATGTATTATATTTTTTCACTATGAATGTGGTAATACGTGTTTTATTACAAACCGCCTATGTCATGTCAGAAGGTCGTAGAATCAGTCTCGCTATCTACGAGATGAGACTTGAATGGGATCTTGACATGATGTCACCGTACAGTACTATGTGCGTTGCAAACCCCAAGTAATGTACCTCTGGTATTATTAATACATACAGGTTAATCATGCTGCGATTAATAGTTCTTTCTGGTTGAATTTGGCTGGGCGAAATAAGTTGCTAGTCACATGAAATGAAAAACGTCAGTTTGCATGTCAAGCTCCCATGATGCAATGGTGAAACATAAAGTATGCTATAACCCTATCACCTGAGAGCCAATCACATTATGCGTGTCATATTGGATTTCCTTTTTTAGCTTGGGAGCTTTGTAGCTGCTGGGGCGATCCACATTGTCGATCGTTCACCGGACGAAGGTTCACAGTCGGTGGGGAATGTTTTTATGCACTCTCCAAAACACACCATGGAACGAGGAGAATCTCCGTAGAGGTGGACTATACCGAACATGGATCGCAGTTCCACATAAAAACGTTGCGAATCGAAGTAGCGGACAAAAATAGACCAGAGGTGATCCTAACCGTTGGTCCGAATGATGGCATTAATCCGTGTATCATTGAGGTAGGTGTAGTTCATTCATTCGTTCATTCATTCATATTTATTGGTCCGAATAGCGTTTATCTATTTACTACTGATGGTTTTCATTCATTGTTTTCATTCACTGTTTTCATTCATTGTTTTCATTCATTGTTTTCATTCATTGTTTTCATTCATTGTTTTTTTTTACATAGCTGAATGGTGTCGAAATCGTTCCGATTTTCCCTGACACCATTGAACTTGAAGGCGTATTTCTATTGAATATGAATGCTGACCACGTAGTTGAAATATCGATGAAAAGACGTGACAATGACAGGGAATACAATTTTGTTGTCCTATGGCTTCCACATCGCATTGTTCAGGTTATGCTAAAGAGAGACTTTCACAAACAATTGGAAATAGAAGGCATATGTGGTGACCCGGATGACAACCCAGACGATTTCCCTGATAATGCCCAGAAATTTGCCGATCAATTCCAGCGGTAAGTAGTAAGAACATTCGGTCAATGCACTTTTGACAGTATTGTGTGTTATGGTATATGGTTCTGAGGTTTGGAATCTGCCAATGTAACCGTGTACCAGCTCGGTGATGCCATTGACTCGTATGCCAGTGTTGTGAAACCCTTTGGGCGCCAAAATCAACTTTCGTTAATTTCAATAAAATAAATTATGTCACATTTTTCAAAGATTTTTTTGTCTAAAATTGTGTTTAAATCCTATAGCCATTAGAAAATGATGTTCATTTGGTTGAAAAAAACAAACAAATTTTTTTGGCGGGAAAAATTATGGCATTCAAAAGGCTGCTGAACTGCAGATCGAATACAAGTGTGATACGAGTATGATATATAATGGTGGTTTCGACTACATAAATTTGATATCAATGAAATCAAAATTTTGGTTTCTAATTTTGTTTTTACTTTTTATTTCAGATGTTATTAACCGCTTCACTTCAGTTACATCAATAGACATATACAACAAGTTATTGTTTGTTTGTTTGTTTGTTAGTGAGTTTTAATAATCGGACGTATGCAAGTAGAATGGTATTATTCTAGTCAGTGTTCAAATAACTATATTGCCGAGAAGTAATAAAATATGAATATAAAAACGCATGTCAAGTGTTTGTATACAACTATATAAATTTCTTATAAGTATTCTTCCAAGTGGTGATACGCAATACGCATTCTATATCATGAACACATATGTTGGGTTTCCGACAGACTGTCGACAGTTCTTGGGCCCAATGAAGAGTCACTTATTTTCAAACTCCGTAGGCGTTTTAACGAAATGCCGAGGGCCGTAAGGCCCGAGAGACTGTTACAGCTTGCATGACTCGCCTTGATATTAATTATGCATGCAGAGAATGACGTAGACAAATTTGAATATGGGCGGCATTGTGTCAACACAGGTGGCGCTATTCAGCGGTTGGTTTGCGGCGATCTGCGTGTCAATGGTCTTTACTAGACTTGTCACATCCGACAATGTACAACACACACTTACATAAGGTAAGGTTCATGCCAGGTTCGGCCACGTATGTGCAGTCGGTCCGGCGAACCATTTATTTAACAAAGCATACTAATAAAGCCGACTAAAAACGGCTGCCATTACATTGCATGTAGTGTTCAAATTGAAATAAACTAAATGAGAGAAAAAATAACTTACATGAACTGCAAAAAAGATCGACTATTGATGCTCGAAATCAACATTACTCGGTTAAAGAAACATTTAAAATAACTGACAAAAAACATCGACAAAATAGTAACCCCCGTTACTGGCACGCCGACCGCCCAGGAAAAACCAGGAATAAAAAACCCTTTGAGGAAAAAATACCTGGAAACCTGTACCCGTCGCACTGTCGATCTAGCCCTGCGTACAGTGCTGTGTTTACGGGGACGCGTTCGGTTGATAGATGTCCCCACCACAGCCCTGCGTACCTCCAT